GGAAGACGGGAGGAGGATCCCCGAATGGGGCGGCTGTAGAAAGTGGGCGAGAAAAGACAACAACCACCAAAAAAAAAAAAAAAAAAAAAAAAGAGAGAGAGAGAGAGAGAAACGAAATCATCCGGAGAGGGAGGGAAAAAAAAATCCCCCGTCTGATCTACATCTGGGCTGGAGGAAAAAGTTTCTGTTGTGTGTTTTCGCAAAGAATAAATATGCAAAACCGTGCGGTGCTTCTTTTTTCCTTTTCTTTGGAAGAAGAAAAAAGTCATCTCGGAGAGGGGGGAACAGCCCCCGCTCGTGACAAACGTGGCCCGGGGTCCCGGCCGCCGCCTCCCGCCCGCCCGCCCGCCCGCGTCCCGTTCGGGTCCTCTCCGCGCGTCGCCGGAGTAAACAGACACGGGCCGCCGCCGGCCGCGGGGACCGTACCCCGGCTCGGGCCTCAGGGCACCCCTCTTGGCTATTCCCAGAAGTTAACCGCCCCCCGCCCCTACTCCTCCCCGCCACCCCTGGAGTCCTTTGCGTTTCGCGGTGGGGTCCAGCTCTCCGTCGTCCACGTTGGAGAGGGAAGTTTGCGGGGCGTGCGTGCGGGATTTTGGGGGCGCACTAGTTGGCTGCGGCGGGGGCGGGGGGCACTGAAGTTATCGATCTGGTGGCTGTGTTGGAATGTGGCGAGGAGAGTCACGTGGCGGCCTCCTCCTCCTCGGCCGCCTCCTCCACCTTCGCGAGCCTCCTCCCGAGGAAATCGGGGGCGGGCGGCCGAGGGCAGCCGCGAGGTCCGGCGCTCCGAGGCGGAGAGCGGGAAGGGCGGGCGGCGGAGCGCGAGGGCCGGAGGAGGGGTCCGCGGGCAGGGCAGGGAACGGGGCGAGGGCCGGGGGCGAGCGCTGGAGGCAGCCGCGGTTCCCGCGACCCAGAGGCGGAGGACAAAGGGCGGCTGGTGCGCCCGCCAGGGCCCGCTGGGTCCCGCCGAGGTCCGCGCTGCCCGGCCCCGCCCTCTGGTCCCCGGCGGCGCAGCATCCTCTTCCTCCCAGCTGCCGGGCCGCGGCGCCCAGTGGCCCCGGTTCCCGCACCGGCCTCCGGACTCGCCGCCGGCCTGGGGGAAAGGGGTGGGCAGGGCCCGGTGCTCCACGCCTCCCGGCCCCCGGCCCCCGGCCCCCGGCCGCTGTGCATTTATGAACTCGATGAACGGAGATCTCACCGCACACACAAAGCCCTTTCTTCTCCTGGGAAGGGACGGGGTGGGGGAGGGCCTTGCCGATTGGAACGCTTGCTTTTTTCCTAAAGCGCAGAAGTTTTAGTTCGGAAACGAGGTGAATCATTGGCATGTGTCTCCACACTGTGTGTCTGGTGGTTTCCATTCACATGGGCCCCTCCATTTTTCTGGGGGAAACCTAGACCCAGGGCCTGAAAGATCCAAGTGTCGACAGTGAAAAAAGAAACGCCACGGGCGTGCGCGGGTGTCAGGGTAACGGTGGACCAGGCTGGCGCTGGGGAGACTTGCCCGAGACCCCAGCTTTCTTGAAAGTAACGCTGAGCAGAGTACCAGGACAAACCTCTTCCTAGTCACTTGGAAAGAAGAACTTTCCGAGTTGAATTAGGATAGCGGTTGGTGCCTGTCCGGTGGAAAGGGCTCCAAGAAGCTTCTGAAACCCCGTGCAGGAATTTGGGAGGGCTTTTTCTTTTCCAAAAAAAAAAAAAAAAAAGGAAAAAAGTTTATTAACGTTTGTACGATTGGCAATTTTGCTCACTCGCAGCTTCTGAGCATTTGGTTCACCTGCCTTTGGAGTGAATTTACAGCGAAAGTTCGGTTGACTGAATGCGTTTGTTCCCTGTGCTTCCTGAAGAGGATTTCTTCTCATGCGCGTAGGATTTTATGGGCAGTTAAGGGAATCCGTCAGTTGACAGTATTCGCTGGGCAGGCTTGATAAGTCGAACTGCAAAATACCTGTGCAGTTCTTAGGTTAACAAGCAAAAAATGGCAAATGAAGAATGAGTAAAGAGGACATTTTATTCTTTTGTTTTATTGTCATGTTGCAAAATTATCCAAATACCTTCCCCACAAAGACACAGCATCTGTTTCAACTACCAAATTCTAAATAAACTATTTACATTAAAAACAAAGATTTAGCTTCCAGATTCTGTGTGGGCGCGGAACACAGTGCTGTTCTCTCCTATCAGCTACTTGGACAACTCCCAAAAGAGCGAATGGCCTCAGGTGGGCTGGCTGGGCTTTGGGGGATGAGAAGCTGAAGACAGGAATAAAAATAGTACAGTCCTCACTGAAGAGCGGATTGTTTTTCTTCAGGATATACCTTGAAAAATTCATATGTACATGAGCTATACCAAACGAATCATTTTGATATTAGTAGCGGTTTTGAAGAACAGAAAGGGCATTCTGGGTGGCTCTTGTTAAATACCTAGCCTTCTCTTCAGTATTTTGATTTCCCTATGTCTTCTTGGAAGGATCTCCAATTTTTCAAAATGTGTTGTAGGAGTGTTCTGAGTATGCGGATTGTCCATTATACCATTCAGAAGGTCACACTTGGATCATAGAAAAGCTAGGGAGGTGTTATTACGACCTGTGTTCTGGTATAATATTAGTAGTAATATGCAGTGAACAACACTTTGCTATCAGCAGGTATAGAAAGGCAGTCCTGTTGTGTTTCTTCATTTATGAATAACTGATTAATAGGTTTGCAATTAAAAGATAAAAAGTCTGATTTTATTAGATGAGTGACAGTATTTCAAAGCCATGTAGATTACTTTATAACCAACTTGAAGGAGGCATTGGAAACCTTGAAAATGCAATAGGCCCTTCTAAATAAAACATGAAGTTCTGCACTCAATTTCCAACTTCTCTCTTACATACATACTAGTACTTTAACCAACAAGATTTAAAAGATATTGCTGACATGACTGTCAATTTGATATCATAATTTGAAACTTACGTCTCAGGAAAGTCATTTACCTAAGGCAGATAAAAACATTAAGACACAATGTCAGTTAGGTTTGGAGTTTTTATTTTCAACCAAATGCTTAAAAATACAGACTACCAGGACATTGCTATTAACAGTTGAATTTAATGTGTGAATTCTCATAATTTAGTACTCTGAAGGAATAATTATGTTTACTTGAAAAAGTATGCTGGGTTTTTTGTTTGTAGGAAACTTTAGGGTAACTGTCCTAAGAACCCACCTCCTGAGAGTAGGTACCGTATTTCTGGCTTCAGTGGAGCGGGCCCTGGTTGGTCTACTTACCTCTTC